TTCAGAATAAAAAATTTGGATACGTGTTTCATGTACCTAGTACGTATGCAGGTCGAGACCAGGTCAGAAGGTTTCCCTTGGAATTTACTTTCTGTTGTGGGATTTTTTAATTAATTAATTAATTATTATTATTATTTGGGGGTTTGAGTGGTAACTATAGACTGCTGCTGCAAGTTAGACTTGAATCCACCATCAGTATGACTGATACTTCCTGAGGAGGACTGCTAGGATGCAAGACTCTTCTCAAATTTAATTACTCCATTTGTAATTTGTTTGAAAAATGTAATATGTTATTTACAAACATGCATAGATAGCTGCTTCTGTTCATGTGCTTTGGACTACATGAATTCTTAGAAATAATCATGCTCACAGTGCCACTTTTGACTCCCACTCTACGTATTGTGGGCTTTTACATTGTTTTGCTGACTATTAGATGATGCTCAGACGGTGATTCATGTTGTTTTGCCAGCAGTAACTGAATATTATGCGGACACTCAAGTTTCTATGTTTTTTCCCTTGTACATAATGATTTTTTCAGAAGAGAGCTTTATAATCAATAATACTCAAAAGTAGCAAATTTTAACTGCATATGGCACTTCTCTATAGACTAATCACCTTGACCTATGAAGCACGTGTATGGGTACGGGTACGGGCAGTGGCGTAGCCAGGAATTTCCTTTAGCGTGGGGTCATTTAACAAAGTATCATCAATGTCATATTTTTAGTTTTACATAATCTGTCAACATTAACATTCACATAATACTCTGTAAATTTTATATATTCCCAAATCACATTGACAAAAGTAATTCAAACTAGTGAAATTACAAGTAAAAACAAAATATTGGGATATTAACACCATTACTTCAACAATAATAAGTAAAGCAATAGTCGATGGAGAGAACCAAAAGTCGATGTCCAATCTCCAAGAGGAATAAACAAACGTTTGGTTTGTTTCTAGAAGCCTAAATTTTTAAATAAAGTTTGATTTTGTTTTTACCTACTGGGGTCAATTTGTAAAAGTTTAAAAATTAATTTATTTTATTTAGGCCCACTAGGTTCAATTTGTAAATACTCATAATTTTTTACATATACTCTGTCAAAATTTTGAAGTTCAGTGGTGTCAATTGACACCATTTTTCAAAGCATTGTTCTGCCCCTGGGTACGGGTACGTTACGGTAAAATTTAAAAAAATTAGGATACGGGTATGGCTCAGTATGTTTGTTAAAAAAAATATATTTTTAATTTGGATTAATGCAAAAATTAGTTAAATGATTTAGTTTGTTACGATCCAACCCTTAGTAGCAGGAATCGCTGAAGTTGCTCACGAATCAACCAAAGAAGCGCGATTTTGCACTTCTAAGGAAGAATCAGAGAAAAATCGCGAGTCCAATGCTAGAGAAACGCGAATCTGAGAAGAGAAGGAACTTATCTAGATTTGTCATCCTCACTCTCGACCTCAATTTCTCTGTCGTCGTCTCTCTCGATCGATCGATCTCATCGTCTCTCTCTCTCTCTCTCGATTATCTCATCATCTCCCTCAGTCGATCTTGTCTCCTCTCTCTCTCCTCCCTCTCTCTCTCATCTCCTCTCGAGATCGATCTCCTCCTCCTCCTCCTCCTCCTCCTCCTCTTCTCTCTCTCTCTCTCCTCTTCTTCTTCTATTCCATTCATCTGTCTTCTTTTCCTCTCCCTCTTTTTTCTTTTATTTTATTTTTGTAAAAGAATAAATAAAACAAATAATTTTTAACAAAAACACTCTAAAATTAATAGATAAAAGAATAATATAAATAATTTAGAATAAATATTTTATAATAAATGAAAAAAATCTAATAAAAGTATATAATTATAATATTTTAACATATGATTTTTTATACTTATTTTTTATTTTATTTTATTTTATTTTATTTTATTTTATTTTTAAATTTATAACATATAATCATTAGAGAAAAAAAATAAATATAATCTCACAATATATTTTTATATATTATATTATTTAATATATATACAAACGCTTACCAACGATTCTTGAAATGTCTACGATTTCCCGTTCCTGCTCGCGCTTCCGTTTCGTGCAACTAAGATCCAACCCACAATTCACATTTAATGCCAAAAGTAAAGATATAAACCAAAATTAAATGTCATTATATTAAATAACTTACAAACCATAGTTTAATTTTAAAATCATGCTAAGCATAATAATAACAATAAAAAAAAGTCTAATGAAACTAATTTTACCTTTGTATTAGAAGAAAACACTATTTTAAATGAGGTTCGGTTTGGATATGTACTAGATATATTTGTGGTACGGCAAAAATTAAGAATAAAAAATTTGGATACGTGTTTCATGTACCTAGTACGTATGCAGAAATACCGTACAAAGTATCGGTACTCGGTAAGCACCCGGTTTGGTACGGCATGTTTGTCAAAGTACTCATGCTTCATACGCCTTGACCAACCTTAAAATATTACTTCATACTTCCAAAAAGTCAAGTCATGGTATGATTTTTACATTTGAGGAATTGTCGGCATGGAGAATTCAATTGCGGGTAGTCTCTAAATCAGGTGGTTTAAAGGGATTGGATTAGATGTTTCATGTAAGACACATACATCATGGCTATTTTAATCAGCATATTGTATTTCTGTAGGCACAAAATAGGTTTGGTAATGTCGTGATGTCATGGTTGTTAGCGATTTTTTGTTTTTGTATTGAATCTTTGTCTGGTATGACTGTCCTTAATTTGTGTGGTTTTATGGAACTTGTTAGTTCATTCAGTTTGATGCCAACCTGTTAGTGCTTTTTATTATGAATGTCTCTGCACCACCCATTATGCTTTCACTTACTATTCATCCTGACTGAACGTAACTTGGTGCTTTAGGCATCATTACCAATTTTATTCTCTCATAATTGTTGTGTGATGTGTTCAATACTTTCATAACCCTTCTGTTTACACTGGTTTCAAATTAAAAGTTTTGGTGGTGGGTCTCCTCTTATACCAAGCCTTTACTGAAAATGATTGCTGTATGTGATCACTTAAAAAGTTGCAGAGTTTTGTTCAAATATGTGTAGTATTGACTGAATCCATATGTTATTTCGACTTGTCACCATGTACAAATGACATTCTCTTAGTGGATGCATGATGTATAAATGCAATTGTGACCTTTTGTTCTACAGATTGGTTTAAATCCATGGTTTTATGAAAGTTTTTCGTAGACAATTATGTTGTAGCATCACCTAGACATCACCCATAGCAAAAGGGAGCACCGAGGGATGATATTTTTGCAGGGTATTGTTCATCTAGTCTTGTGTGGTTGTATCTACTACTACCATGGTTTATGCAGTTATTTTCCATGTATTTTCACATATTTTTTATCCCACCACTAGAAGTAGTTTTGGTAAACGCTAAGATATTTTGCTCAAAATTCTATTCCTGTTGGACGCTTCTTAATGGACCTGCTGACTTCTCTAAAAGTGCTGCATCCAAATTGTTTACATGCTCCAATATCTGACTTCCTTGATGTATATAGCAGGGAACCCCTGTGCACCTTGTTATGCATTTTTTGGGTACATGTTACGCATTTTTGTAGCAAATTTTATGTAATTTTCTATTAGAGTTATGATAATTTGTGGTTCAAAAATGAAATTACGCATTTTTGTGGTGATGTTACATTTTGTGGCTCAAAAATATTTTGATGAAAAAATGTGTAATATTTCCACAAAAATGCGTAACATTACCAAAAAAACGTGTAACTTCAATTTTGAATCACAAATTATGATAAATCTACAGGAAAATTACGTAACATTTGCTACAAAAATGTGTAACATGTACTAGAAAAATGCATGACGACGTGCATATGATACACACCCTTTGGGGAGTGTTTGGCAATTAGCTTTTTTGGGCTAAAATAGCAGTAAAAGACAAAATAAGTTAAAATAGCTAATAAGACAAATGTCACATCAAACCCATAATCATTTTACTTTTTCTCTCACAAACATCACATCCAAACTACAAAAAAATCTAATCCTCTTTCCAAACACAATTATTTTAGCCTATTAAAATAGCCAGAAACTAAAATAGCCTACTAAAATAGGCAACTTCCCAAACACCCCCAAAGTTTGTGTAAAACATGTGCTTAAGTTTAGTATAAGGATTTTATTCAATTTGAATTGCTATCTTTTACTTGTGGTTTAATCTCTCCATTTGGCTTTGTAAGTTGAGAGAGAATAGATTGAGATGATTTGGTCATATACAATAGAAATCAACAGAGGTAGTAGTGAAGAGATGCGATACAATGACGGTAGATGGAAATGTTAGAGGAAGGGGCAGACCTAAATTGACATGAGTTAGTGTAGTAAATAGAGATATGAATCTCCTTAATTTGACTAATCAAATGATTGTTGATAGAGTCGAATGGCGAAGAAAGATTCATGTAGCCAACCCCATTTGATGAGAGTTAAGGCTTGGTTTGGTTGTCTATTTTCCTCTCCCATTTCTCCTTTTTCTATGAAAATGTAGTTTCTATCCATTCCTTGGCAGAAACGGGAGTTGGTAGATACTAGACAATATGATAAATCTTACATGGACTTGAGTACAAGTATCAAGTGTAGGTGCTTGTCCAAGCGCCCAACCTTCATAAATCTAAATCTTAGGATATTGGAATATATATCCAAAAGTTGGATATGGTTATGGGAACACATCATGGACGCATATATTGTATGCTATTCTTAGATAAGATTTTTTAAATTTTATAGAAATATACCTGAAAGTAGGATTTAGAAAAAATTCTCACCCATATGAAAGACAAAATGTTTCTTTACTAACAAATGTGAGTTTACTCTCCAAACATCCTAAAAAATTAGAGGATTCAAGCGTCTAAATTGGGTACAAATGTCAGACACATATCCCATACACCCTTAACACTTTTCATATCTAATGAACATGGATACTTTGAGGGAAATAGTATTATGATTTAACATTCTTCTATGGTATGTTTTATTTGAAGGTTGTTGATTGCCGAATTTGTGGCGATCCACATTCACGTCTTCGCTTTGCATTTGTAGAGTTTGCTGATGAGCGTAAGTTGGTTGTTTTGGCCTAAAATCTTTGTAATATACTTGAAAACAGATTTTTTTTTAAAACAATTACCCACAGCTCATATGGATTAATGTGGACAGGAGGTGCAAGAGATGCTCTTAACTTTTGTGGGACAATCATAGGTTTCTATCCAATCAGGGTCTTGCCTTCGAAGACTGCTATCCTTCCTGTGAATCCAACATTTCTCCCCAGGGTATGAAAAACTCTAGCCATTTCTACTATGTTCATATCTGTTCAGTGCTTGCACAACATGCTTTCTTCCAGTCTGGTTAATATTTCAGTTTTTATTTCTATGGAGATTGCCATCTGTTTTGTTTTTATTTTTTATTATATACTTTTTAACATATAGTCAGAAGATGAACGAGAGATGTGTGCAAGGACGGTCTATTGTACAAATATTGATAAGCAGGTATATACTCTTCTATATTTTGTCAGTATTGACCTCTATGTTTCCTCTTAATGCTTTTTATGATTTCGTCTTTGCATTTCATATAATGCCTGCTGGATTGGAGCTTATGTTCCCTAGCTTATATGCAGTGATTGCAATTGATTAATTTGAACAGCTAATTGAGAAAATTCAAATTGAAAGAATTCGTTTTTTATTCATAAGAAAATTTAAAATAATTTATTGTTATTGCAGATTTCTCAAGCTGATATCAAGCTCTTTTTCGAATCATGCTGTGGTGAGGTGAGGACAATGATTTTTTATTTTTCTCCTTTGTTCCACAGTAGTTAGTTAAGCAGTTCTCTTCAATTATCTGCTAATTTTTCTCTCTTGTGCAGGTTTCTCGCCTGAGGCTTTTGGGGGATAATGTGCATTCAACTCGCATTGCTTTTGTTGAATTTGCTATGGTGAGGTCACTTTTCTGTGAAGTTGAGTGATAGTTCAATTACTGCTTAGGTTCTTTTTCTTCAATTATGTTTCAACGGCTTCACGACAGAACTACGATTTTAATAGGCATAATATTCTATGTAATTTTAGATTTGTCTGCTTTGATTGTGCAAGCTAAATGTCAATACACAATATAAATATACATCTCCAAAGTGGATAAGTTGTGTTTTTTTTGTGTGCTTTCCTCCACGAGTTCCCTTTCTATCATGTTTTTTTGCCTTTACGTTGCTTGCCTAGGATAAATAAATTTTGTTCTTTGGTATGGAGGCTGTCTCATCCATTTATTATTGATGTCTCTTTGTGGGTGCAAATGTTGCTAGCTTAAAATGTTTAGCCTTGTCGGAAGGCTATGAAGACGAAGACCTCTTCGGAGGTCACATACAGGTGTCTAACATGTGTAAGACATGGACACGCTCCCGACACGCTCCGGACACATGTTGGACACGAGCCAAACACACTCTGAACACGTGTCGGACACGCTGGTACACTTGGGACACACTGCGGATTCATTGGGACACACTAGGGACAAGTTAAGAACAAGTTGAAAACTTTTTTTTTTTTTTTTTTTTTTTTTTTAAATTTAATTTTTTTTTGCTAAAATAGCATTATATTTGATAAAATTAAATATTTGACATAAAATACATATTAAATATTAAAAAATAAGACGTATAATAAATATATAAAATTATATGTTTTGCACGTGTCGTGTTTTGCATTTTTTGAAAATTTGCGTGTTCGCGTATTCATATCTGTGTTCGTGTTCATGTCCGTGTCAATGCTTCTTAGTCAAAAGGTATGAAGTAACCAAATGTGGAATCATTGGGGGCAAAAAGTAGAATTATTTTTCACCTTATTATTAACAAAATATTTTTTATTAAACCTTTTCTCAAAATGAAGCTTTTCATGGAACGTCAATTGAATCACAATTATTACTTACCAAGCTTTTCATGAATCATTTTTCATTATTCTGCTTTGTCAAGGGCTGTATGCTCTATTAAAATTAAATAAATTCATACCCTTTTTATTAGGACATCCTATGTCAATTTAGGTCTTTCCCTCCCCATCTCATTTCCATTAACAGTGATTCTATCACTCTTCATTACTGTTGCACTTACCAATCTTAGTGTTAATTGATCCAGCCTCTATATATACTAATTATGGGATAGCTCGTTTTTTTATTTTTTCTCCATAAAACTGTCTTTGACTTCTGAGATGCAATTTCAGTGTTACACACATGCACATGTGAACCACTGACTATGAGTTCCTTTTCATGTTTATCATGTATTGTTGGGTCCATTTCTTAGTAGTTTAAGCTTTTGAACAATTGATACTCTAGCATGGTACCCAACTCTAGTCCCAGGAGGTCACAGATTCAACTCCCGTAGTATGAGTTTGTTCCCTTATTGTGCTTGATATTTTGCATCAAATAATTCTTAGTGCACAACTGATCACAGAATAGGACAACCCTCTTACATAGAGTTGGGATCCACAAATTTAATGGATACCACTCTATGTAAGAGGGTTGTGTCCAATTTTGTGATTGGATTTTGTGTACGTAGAAGAACTATTTTGCATCATGTCCAATTTAATTTGTATGTTTGTTTATTTGTCTCTCCATGTGTGAGTCAGGTTGCAAGCGGGAGGTCGTTACATAGCTTGATATATATTATAGAGTTTCTTTTCTAATAGTTTAAGTTTGTAGGACAATTATCATCAAATTCAATTTCAAATTCAAATCATCATATAAGAACTTGGATTGAACAGCCAAGAATATGATTCTAAGTGCCAAATTATCTCATCTGAGAATGACTTATAGTGATATTGATTATTGCCGGATGGGTGCTAAACATTGTCTACGGACTATTGTTTCCACACTTCTTTAATTTTTTGTTGTATAAATTTGTTTTTTCTTTTTCTTTTTTAGATATGGAGGAGCTTTTTATTTACATTGCATAAAAGAATCTGAAACCAAACTCTGTGACCTTAAGTGGTTGGATTATTCAATGATTTATTTATTTATTTTTAATTAGGATTCATTGCAGATTGGGAACCATTTCTCTCTCAGAACTGATTCTTTTCCTCTATGTGCAGGCAGAGAGTGCCATTGCAGCACTGAATTGTAGCGGGAGGCTCTTGGGAACCCAACCCATCAGGTAAAAAAATTCTCGGAACAGTAGCGGTATCTACTGAGCTTTTTCTGATTAAACTGGCAACATTCTTTTCCTGAAAATTTCATTAATAATGTAGGGTAAGTCCTTCAAAGACCCCTGTGAGGCCTCGTGTTCCTCGCCCTGCCTACATTAACTGATCCAATTGGCAGAGCCGGAGAGAGCAATGGATGGAAGTCAAATGTACTCCCTGTTGAGAGAGAATGATGTTGTGCTCAAGTGCCGAACCTTTCTTTTTCATTTCAGTGTTTCTATCCTTTTTTATAGCAACAGTAACTTTTTCCTGCAACTGTGAACGTTATCGTGACCCTGCTTCAATCGAAGTTTTTTGGGGACGGTTTGGTTCGACTTTTAACTTAAATCCTTGCTTGTTTTTGCAATGCAATCTATGACTTTGACAATGCTGGTTCCCGTTACTATTTATTGTTCTTACGCCCCACACACACACACACACACACACACACAAATATGTGTATATAGATATGTATGTATGTGAACATATGGCAAGGTACTGTTTTCTAGTGGGTGTGGTGAGTTGGAATTGAAAGCAATATATAAGGCAAACACTAGGTTACTGAACCAACTGTTGCATCCGAACCCACTTCAAGCTAGGTTGGAGGTGCTAAACCTCCCTGCATAATTATTCAGATTGCTGGTTTTTATTTCTTCTCCCGCAATCTATACCTTCCATTTTTTTTTTCATTTTCTTTAAACCTCCACTAAATTATTTTTGAAATTTTTTCTCTTCTTTGAATACCCACCCTAATGCCAACTCTATCTTCATTTCTAATCTATGAAACCCTAACCTTTTGTACCCACCATGACCCCTCCCTCCGCCCCATTCATTGTTGAATTAGTGACCTGTGTCCTGTTCTTCTTCATGGAATGGAGGGCAAATATCTGTTCCATCTCGCTGAGCCATTGATTGGTGTTTGATTCTTCACTGAAAGGAACCTAACTGTTCTCTCTCTCTCTCTCCCTAAAATCCTTACACTAGGGAGTTGCACTGCAATGGGAATGGGAAGGTTATGGCGGTGAAAGGGAGGGGCTCCAGTGGTTGTGGCAGTGTGGGGGGATGGTGTCAAGGTAGTGGTCTGGATGGATGGCGATGGTTGTTGATAGGCTGGAGGTAGTGGGAGAGGATGAGATGGTGAGGTAGAGAAAGGGTAAAGGGTAGTCGAGCTGGGGACAGGGAAAAGGAGGGGCGGCGGTGCAGGGGCGATGTCAAAGTGGTGGAGTAAAGAGGGAAGGTGGGTGTGGGGAGAAATTTTAGGCCTATTTTGAGCAATGGATTTTTATTGACTTGTTGGCTTCTAATGAAAAAACGTGTAAGAAAAGTAGAGATATGATGGGACTTAAATAAGTCAATAAGTTGGTTATTTTTTTTTGTCTTTCCAAAAAAAGGCCTCAAGAGTTTTCGTACTTTGTCGTAATTAATTTTGCTGAAAGAAAATGTGTTGGTGTTATTGGGTTTAGGGTTTATTGGTGTTATTGGCAGCACTTGACATGTAGTTTCTTGCATAAATTACGTTGACACCCTTGTATAAATTCGATGTTACGCTGATGTCCCTTTAGAATTTCATGTCACATATAGACATATTTATTAGCCAACTGTATGCTGTCCTCCTAAGTGACTTCAACAACGTGAAAAACTATTGTTCAACTCTTTACAATATGGAAAAAACCAAAAGCCCTGCCTTCCCACTCTATCTATCCAAAGGATGGAAATAATGCTGGATCACCCAATCTCCACGACCACTTTCTCTATACTACATCTTTGGCACCACTTCCATCTATATATTATCATCATCTTTACTTTCATTATCACCTTCACCAGTTTCTCCTTTTTTCAATCAATACCCATGAAAAAAAACAATCTTCTACAACACTAAAAACAAATCATCACGAAAAAACTCACCATATTCCACATCACAAAATGCAATATATCGAAAATCCCAAATTGCACAACAGATTTTGTTGGGGTTTAGAAGTCAGTTTTGGGAGGTCATAGATGAAGAAGGGTTGATGCGGGTTTTCATAAAAAAGAGTTAGTGGTGGCGGTGGGGTAGGGGATTATGGTGGTTGATTTGGATAGTGGAGGTGGGTTGTGTTGAGTGGTGAGTTTAGTGTTGAGTGATGGATGGTTGTTGCAATTTCTAAAGAGAAGTAGTGGGTCCTAATGGTAAAGTATAGTAGTTGTTGGAGGTTAGCAAGCTGCTGGCTATGGTGAGAGATGATGATGGCGGCTATGATTGTTATACCATAGTTGTGTCAAGATGTGTGAAATTCAAATAATAACGGGAGGTGGCAGTGGTGGCTATGGACCATCGACCCCTTTCTCTACTATTTTCACCACAACCCCCAACCTCCTATTCTCTTCTCCCTGCCTTAGTGTCATGGGTTGGCCAACTCCGTGACATTTTGCTCGTGGTGGTGTGACCAATTGAGTGCTCAAGAGTGGCCGTTGGAAGTGCCTCAATGTGGCCCAACATTGGCCCCAAGTAGCCCAAGGCATGTAAACCACCAACAGCTAGCAAGTGGCAAGGCCGCAGCCCATGCCAGCAGGCAGCAGCAGCAGTAGACAGTGCCAGCAGCCACCAGCAGGAAGCAGCAGTAGCAGCAGCCCAACAGCAACAGCAGCAGCCTAGCAGAGAAGCCAGCAGCAAGCAGGCCACAGACAGGCCGCAGCCCAGGCTGCCAGCCACAACCCAGGCCGCAGCCTGCCCAGCAGCACCAGCCAACAATGCATAGTTTTGGTGCGTTGTTTGGGCATTCAAATGAAGGAGTTTCGGGTTGAAATTTTTATTGTAAAGAGGTCTTGGGAGAAGTGTTTTCCCGACAAAGTGTTGTGATTTTTCTCAATTTGTGGAATTTATGAAAAATTATTATGACTCTTCGGACATATTGATGTTTCCCTCTGCCATAGGGCTAATGGCTTAACAAGCATATATAAGGGGGTAAGGTGTGCTACCTACCTACCTCCCCGCCTAAACTAGGCTTTAAGTGAGCAACCTTGGGGCAATTCAAGGGCGGGCTTTAGGCATCCAGAGGGGTGTCTAGAGTCTTCACGTGGGTTTGGGAGCCCCATGGATGTGCAATAATGTAAGCACTGCGCGTGCCTCCCGAGGAAGAGGTTTGACACGTTGTCTTCCTTATGCCACGCGTTATGGCATCTTGGGGACTCATTTTAGACCTAATGGGCTATTGAGGCACCACCAAAGGCCTTGTGTGCCAACTCAAGTGCTTAGTTTGGGTTCAACCTTGTATGAGGGGATCCCGTGGCTTAAGCTAAGCGATTGGAAGGCCACACTGCATATGTGGGCTATCGAATGAAGGCATCAAGCTATACATTGACTAAGTCCATTGAGGGACTGCTTTATGCTACAAGCAAGCTACGGATTGAGACGTTCTCTTACTCATGCTACACATTGGTGCAACGCTCAGGTGCGCAATGGCCTTAGGCGGAATCTAACACACGTGTTGGCACGAGGACTACGCCGTGGGCAAGAGCTTGACACTCGGTGGCTTGTGGGCTTCGCATGACCATGTGGCCATCCAATATGCATCAATTGAGGCATGCTAGACCCTATGGCACTTTGAGATGCTATCAAAGACCTAACATGCTATATTAGCTTGTCGGCTAAGTCGAGGGCCTTCCTTAGCACATTGTTGTGTGGCTAGGCACCTTGATGACATGAACCTAAGTTGGGCGAGCACCTTACTTGAGATAAGCTTAGTGCTATGAACTAACTTATGTTGTGCTTGGTGCACTTAAGGCGTTAGGCCTACTTGTGATATCCAGGTGAAGACGGAGCTTCCTGGCAAAGTTGTTCTGCTTGATAAAGCATTGGGCCCTAATGTTCAAAACAAGTGAGATCATTAATACTCGATTTGTCAACGAGCTATGGCAGGTTTAACTTGGTGGAGTTTGAGCGCCGCACGGGCAAAAAATTGATTCGCTCCGCCTCTAAAGGAGTCGGCCCATGATGACATTTAAGATGGATAGTTAATCGATTTGGCAGATACGGATTTAGCGGACCGTGCAGATTGAGGGATGGATGCAATCAGTTTTGGACTTTACAAATTTTGAGCATTTTTTAAATTATAATTCATAACTTTTATAATCTCCAATAACTAGTAATCTGTAAAATATGTATTATTTGTCTATAATAGCCCATAACACTACACGTGTATATTTTTAAGGTATTGTTTTCTATTTTCATAAAAATATATATTTTATTATCTCTACTCTATGTTATTTATTGTTTGTGGTTTCTTTTTTTTATTATTTATAAATTTCATTTACGGGTAGATCGGATTCATGTGGGTGCGGGATGGCTGATCTGCCATCCGAATTGTATCAGTAGATTTTGAAATATTTTATCCACATCTGTCCGGTGAAAGACACACATCTACCCAAAATCAATTGGGTTGGATCGGTTCGGTTGGGTTGAATAGATTGGACGGATCCATGATCACCCCTAATCTCCACAAAAAATGGCAAACATTCTCACACTTTTTCCTCTGAAATTTGGATAAGTGTTTGGATCATAAATTTAAATATGAATTTGAAAAAGAAAAGGGAAAGGGAAAAGGAGAATGATTTTTTTTTTTTAGGGAAAAGGAAAAGGAAAATGATTTTTTTTTTTTTTACATTTCATTCATATTTTCCCCACTTTTTTCCTTTTTGAACACAACCTTCCTTTTTTATCGGAAAAAGATTGAAATCTTCAAAAACTCTTATCATTTTACTCATAGTGATTTAATAAGTCACATGTCAATTTTTAATTTGTTACAAATTTAACTATAACAATTATGATGATAATATTAATTTTTAATTTATTCCAAACATAACTATGTAAGACTCAATTTTCTTATCATGTTATTATAAATAAATTTAAAAACTACCATATCATTTTGAGTGAATCTAAAATATATATTACGAATCCTAATATTTTTTTCGACAAAATAAACGAGAAAGTGGCCCCAAATGGTCACTGTTTTTTCTATTTCTCTTTAACAATAAGGAAAAGTTGTCACTTTTGGCTAGAGTTCACTTTTTAATGATTCATAACTTTTGTGCAAACATGATGTACTAAACAACAAGCTTGCCAGCGGGGTGGTGGCCTGGTGATAAGCTAATCCCTCATCTAGCCGGAGGTTTTGGAATTGATATTTGGGGTGCTTCTGCGGATACATTATATTCTTGTCGTATAATAGTTTGAGGTGTCTATTGTGGTAGGATAGTTGACACCTATTAGTATTTTGATGGGAGGTCTCTTCTTATGAATTGAATTAAATCTGATTGGCAATCGATTACCCTGAGAGCAGAACCTACCGACACAATGATACCCTCAAGAAACTCCCTTTTGACTGTTCCAAAAAAAAAATAAAATCAACATGAAGTTTGCCATGT